TGTTGTTGTTATGTATTTGGTCTTATTGGTTGTTGTTTTGTAATAGATCCAGTTCAAGAGTGGGTGTGTGAGTTGCAATGAGAACTTAGTTGTGAGATGTAATTGATATTAATAAAAGTGTTTGCTTTATGTTATACTCCCCTGTTTCTTTAATTATGAACACGTAATGGTGCACTAACAAGAATAAAGTAGTAAAATTAGGGAAAATGAAGTGACATAGAGAAAAGGCATATATTGTTATAGCAAAAGCACTGCAACCCAAAGATATTGTTTCAGGAGGTTACATCAAAAGTAAGACAAACATAACGAAAAACTTGTACCAAGTTCCCAACAAGTACACTTGTTTCACAAAAAAAACTTAACCAATTGTTTGATCAAACAACACCAAACTTTGGTTTATATATACATCAAAATAGACTAAAAAGCATATGCATATCTCAGAATTACATCCTTGTCTCAGTTGGCACTGTGACAAGTCTTGTGGCTGACTTGACAGTTGTAAGCTTGTGAGCTCAGTTGCACCAGACCCTTCACCCTTTGATTTTGCTCTTGCTTTTTTTGCAGCATTTGTTTGATCTCTCACTCTTGGGTTTTGTATCACAAGTGCTTCTCCAGCCCTTAGCACTTTTCCAGTCAGCCCTCCTTTGCAAGTTTTTTTGTTATGTCCAAAACAACCACAGCTTGAGCATCTCACAGTTCTTGACATTTTTCCTGGCTGGTCCTCTCCTTCTTCCTTTTTCCTGTTTCTGCTAGGTCTACCAACCCCCCTTTTCATCTATGGTGGGTGAACATGATGAGGGTTCTTAGCAGCAGATTTAGGCCACTGACTAAGATCTGGGATAGGAGTTATGCAATGATTGTACACCTTTTTGTAGGTCTGTGCAGAATACCAGGAACTAACATAATTGTGAGGGTCAACTTTTGCATGAGTCATTACCCTTATAGCATGTCTGCAAGGTATGCCAGACAATTGCCAAGCTCCACATGAGCAAATCTTACTGTTTAGGCTAAGAGGGAACTGTGATTTACCCTCATGAATCTCATATTCCCCTGGTCTTGATTGGAAAGCTCTACAGGTTGTAGTGGCTTTGTTGATCTCTCTGACCAATCTTGCTATCTTGGGGCAGATTTCATCATTATTTAAGGCCATTTTAGCCTCATGCCTTGAAGTTATCCTGACCATGCACACTCTCCTTATGCCTATCATAACATAACAATCAAATTAGTAATGTAATCATTCAAAAATAGTGTGAAATGCAAGTCAGCTTGATCATTACCTTCTAGTAAAGTCAATACCAACCTGCATCTGTCAGCTCCAAGTGTTGAGTTAAAACTCTCAACAAAGTTTGAAGTGTTGGAGTCATTGCACACATTTGGATCAAATTTGTGTTTACTCCACTTAGATTGATGGCCTAAATCTGCAAACCATTTCATGACATCCTCCATACCTTCCTTTTTAAGTCTCTCCATTGCCTTTCTGAATGTGAATTTGTTAGTAGCATTGCAAGCTCTCCAAAAAAGGATGTACATAAGTGGACCCGGGAAAGCTTTCTTGTAATTTCTACTTAAGTGTCTGCAACAGTACCTTCTCTTAGCTTCAGGCCAAACAGTTTTCAATGCAACATCAACACCCTACAACAATCACATTTATCAATGCATGCCATGGAGATGTAATTAAATATAGCAATAAAAAAGGAAATATATACATACCTTCTGTGTGTCAAAAATGATTGTCCAGTTCGTCTTCCCTGAATCTTTGACTATGTTGTGGATGTGCCAGAAAAATTAACTCCAGCTATCTTTGTCTTCACTGTTGACAATTGCATATGCAACTGAGTATATCTCGTTGTTACCATCCAAGGCAACAACAGATAGTAAAATTCCACCATAATTGCCTTTCAAATGAGCACCATCAACTCCAATCAATGGCCTACAACCTGCTAGAAAGCCTTGCCACTGTCCAGCAAATGAGATGAATATGCTGCTGAACAAGTTTACCCTTGGAATGTTTTCACTCTCATGCCATGCCACAAAAGCCTTAAAACCTGGTTTGGTGCTCATTATAACTTCAGCATATCTAGGTAAATGGTTGTATGACTCATCATGTCCTCCAAATATCTCATGAACAACATATCTCTTCAACCTATACAAGGTGGCTTGCTTCAAGTAAATGCCAAAACTTTGAAATAGAAGCTCATTAAGGGTCTTTCCTGGAATTTCTGGATTTACCCTTATGTCTTCCATTACCTTTTGAGCAGCCCATTTAACTCTACAAATTGGGTTATACATTTTTGACCCCCTGCAGTTACGCACATCTGGCCAAATCTTCTTTATAGCCCAAGTCTTGCCATCTGGCAGCCTACTAGCATGCTTATAAAGCTTATCCTTATAATTGTCATCATCAGAATCATCAATGAAAGCTGACCAAAAGGTAGGTTCCCAGTTGTCTTCTATGTGGGGAACAGTGCTTAAATCATGCAACTCATCCTCAGGAACATCACCATCAGGGATTACTTCTCCATCTGAGTCTACTGGTTCATCATCATGCACACCAACCTCATAATCACCATCAGAAGAATCATCACCACCAGATTCATCACCAGAATCATCACCAAAACCATTAGGATCACCACCAGCACCACTCAAACCATATGTAACTCTTCTTCTAGCACTAGGTGCACTCCTCTCCCCTAGCTTTATGAGTTCTATACCTTGTTTAGGCACTCTCCCTTTCTGACCACTCCATATACCCTTCCTAAATTGAGTACTCTTAGGAATTTTTCTAGCAAATAGGTTAGGGTCAGTGATAATATTTGATGGTTGGCTATTTGGACTTGATCTGGGAAGGGGAGTGGTGTGATTAGCTATGACTTCGGTTGGTGAAAACCTAGGACTTCTTATCACAACAAGTCTTTTAAAGACAACGTGTGGTGAAATTAGAGAAGGAGGTAACTTCTCACTCCCAGACCCAACTGACTCCAATTGTTTGGACTTGCCCTTACCCTTTCCACCACCAGAACCAGCATTGCTCTTACCCTTCCCACCTCCAGAACCGACCTTTCCCTTATCCTGAGCCTTTTCACAGTATTTCTCAAACTCCTTCCTACCCTTAGTGTATTCATTGCTAGACTGCTGACCATGACACTCTTCAAACTCATTTTGTATATTAGCAAAGGTAGTGTTTGGGCATGATTAAATTCAATCCCAAAAATCTCACGTAATGGAGGCCTACTAAGAGTAACCACACTAGTAGGGGCAGTAGCATCCTCAGAGTATTTCAATCTCAATCTCCTCCTAGGCTTTAATTTGGTGTTCTCATTCCCTATCTCAGAAGGAGTGGTATTTTCTACAGAAGGCTGGGAATTCTCACTCACAGTAGGGATGGTTGGTTTAGAGGTGGTGATTCCGGTTTTTCATGTACAGGTGGTGATTCTGGTTCTTCATGTACACCCTGGCTAGCTAGTTCAGCAACTAATTTGTTCCTCCTAAACTCAGATACTAAGTCATTCATAAAAGTTGAATTTAAAGTAGTCCCAACGAAAATCTCATACATCTTAGCATCAGGGAGTGTCCTAAACATCCTAATCAGACCACCATCATCATCTATTGGCCAATGTTTGCCCCTATATGCATAAGCAAGTATAGGGTTCAAAATAACTACTCCCTTCTTTTGTAAAACATCTTCAAATTACTATCATTAAGTCCATCAAGTTGCACTTATCACAGTCCACATCAATATCAACATTATGCTGCTTATACTTAATCTCAGTGTAACCATGTCATCCATTCTGCAAAGTAAATTACACTACCATGGTTTAAGCACAACAGTAGATCACAAACTCAAGAACACATATTTAAACCTAGATTAAGCATACAATCATTAACACTGTAGCATGCAAACTCAAAGTCTATCAATTTTGAATAAAGTAACTCAGAGAGTACAAAATTTAGCAAGCATACATGTTCATAGGCAAATCGAACATAAATCAAGGCTAAATTAAGCAACATTAGAGCATAATTCAACCAGTCAACATAATTCAACCACTCATAAGAAATCGCAAACTTCATCTAAAACCTAGCAATTTAAAGCGAATAATTCGGAAATTACAACAAGAAATAACCACTAACCTTTTACAATCCACAAAGCAGGCCTGAATCTCCACGAATTTTGCTTCACTTGCGCGTTAATTAGTGTTTTAGGGAAGAATAAGAACATGGGAGAAAGTGAAGGAGATGAATGATCAAAAAATTTGGAATTAATGTTGACACTTGGGCTTAGAGGGAGATTGAATGAGTGGGAGGGCATTTTAGTCAAGTTAAGTCTAAGCAAAATCCTTGTCATTAACTACCTAAACGTTTGTTTAACGTTTTAGTTATTGTAGTAATTAGGTGCTAATTATGAGTGTACCGCTGATAATGAAAATTTAATGAGGTGTACCAAAGTTAAAAGTCAGAAGTTGGAGTGTATCAGTGATAATTACCCTTACACATATATATAAAAAGAAATATTAAAAGAATTTCAAAAAAAATTTAATAGAATTTTTTTAAAAAATAAATAGCTTTTTGGAGGGAATTTTTTTCACAAGATTATGCTAAGTGTCATATCCGGTGATTACTTTATTACGAAGTATATAATATAGATGATAGATTTAGATAGATTAAGGATCTTGTCTAAAATGACCAACAATGTATTCACTTTTCGATATCTCACTTTAGATAGGCTGTAAATGTAAATTTTAAAATATTTTGGGCTACATGTAAAGAAAATTTGAAGCTTTTAGATCAATCATCCAAAGTAATTACTTTGCGTGTCTTCAGTAAATTTTTCTCGGGTTCAAAAGCACATGTGATGCTAACTCGTAAAGTCATGATTATAACTTGCTTGTATGCTTCTAAGTCAAATTAGTACATGTAACTCATTATCAAGCAAAATCAATAAACAATATTTTTTGCAATTATTATAAAACGGACCCAAAAGTGTTACAATGTCAATTACGGACAAATGGACTATTACGAAACTGATTAAGGTACTCGTAGTACTGCAATTGCCAATGCTCATGGTGCTCTATCTAATTGCAGTCCTTACGAGACGAGACGCCAATTTCCAAAAGCTGGCTCAAAAATGGCGACAATTGCATTTTCTCTCTCCTCAAACAACATCATATCCCCATTATCAACCCAATACAAACACCCCCTAAATTCCCTCACTTCACTCAAATTTCTCAAAACCCCATTAAATTTCAACAAATTTTCAGCCAAAATATGTTGCTCCTCTGAAACCACCATTCCCACATTCACAACAACTACAACTTCTTCTTCACAATCAGATACAGAAGAAGAACTAGAACAAGAACACCAAATTGAGGAGAGAGAATCAAATCCATTTCCCTCAACGACGTCGTCTTCAAATGGTGGGTTACCTCCACCTGTGCTGAAGAAGAGGAAGAGGTACAGGAAAGAGTACCCAGGTGAAAGTAAAGGGATTACTGAAGAGATGAGGTTTGTTGCCATGAAACTTCGCAATGATAAAGGGTCTTCTAAGAATGATGTGTCTGATAATGGGGATGAGTCTGATGGGACTTGGGAGCCTAGTATTGAAGGGTTTCTCAAGTATTTGGTTGATAGTAAGCTCGTGTTTGAAACAATTGAACGTGTTGTCGAGGATTCGAACGATGTTTCTTGTGAGTTTTCGAACTTTGTTTACTTTTATAATGTGGAATTATATTGGTAGTTGCTCTTGTTTGTAGTTTGTAGTTTGAGTTGAGACTGTGTGGATTCTATTGGAATTGCTTCTTACTTTCGTTTGTAGTTCGAGTTAAGATTGTGTGGATTCTATTGGAATTGCTATTGGAATTGCTACTTACTTTCATTTGTAGTTCGAGTTAAGACTGTGTGGATTCTTTTGGAATTGCTACTTACTAGTTTGTTGTTTGAGTTAAGATTGTGTGGATACTGGATATTGTTGTGAATGCTAAAGTCGGAGACTACTAGGGAAAGTTTATTGGGAATTGTTACTAACTGTGGTTTTTAGTTTGAGTCGAGATGGTTAGCTAGACTACTTGGTAAATTTTATTGGAATTGTTACTTACCGTGGTTTGTAGTTGAGTCGAGACTGTTATGCTAGACTACTCAGAAAATTTATTGGAAATGGTACTTATGTTTGTAGTTTGAGTTGACTGCATGATTGTGGATTTATTGGCTAGATCACAGGTTAAGTTTATTGGAATTGCTACTTATTCCTGTTTGTAGTTTGTAGGCGTGGCTTTTATCAGACTTGCTACGTACTATCGATTGTAGTTTGAATTAAGACTGTGTAGTGTAGATTCTTATAACAGCCCAAGGATACTTTTCGCAAGACATGAGTTGCACCCATAAGGAAAAAAAATGGCTCCAAATGCTTTTGGAATAACCTCTCAATTTGAGAGAAACTTCACATATGTAGGTGTAAGTAGTGTTCTCACTAATCTTATCTTTAGACCTTATATTGTATCATATTATTAACCCTAAACTTATTTAACCTTAAATAAACTTATGGCAAAAGCTCACGAGCACCCAAATAAGATAACTAAAAGTAGAGATATTAAATCAAAATGAACATTAATTACACCGATTGACTCGTGTTTAGGCATGCATTTCCATGTTAATACCATTTTAGAAAATATTTTAAATGATTATCTAACACCCCAGGGGTGGTCGTTAGCAAGATATGTGAAGTTTGAATTTTTTAGCCCTTATTTAACATGTGTAGCCTAGTGCTTTGGAGTTTTATTGGCCCTTATCCATTTAGTTGATAGTAGATAAGAGCCAGGAATGAAATAGTGGCATTTGTTAGCAAGGTATTATTGGGCCTTATGGCAACTTAACTATATTTGAATTTATTAGCCCTTACTTATCTTTTTACGACTTATTAGCCTTTGTTATATCTTATCTCAACTTAATGTCCCTTATCTTATCGTAATTGAATTTATTAGCCTTTATCTTATTTTATTTGAACATGTCAAAACTAATCAAACCCAAAAAAAAAAAAAAAAAATATAAGGGAGGAAAGTAGGTGTGTGAACTTGAGGTCCATGCACTCACAACTGATGTTATGTTGAACGTAGTGACCCTAATTTTAACATAGTGACCTTTATTAAAAATTTTGTGATCTTTAATATTATTTGCGGTTGAGGTACACACGTGTCAATCGACGTTATATCGAACATAATGACCCTAGTTTTAACATAGTGACCTTATTATTCATAATGACACGTATATTAAAACTTTTATAAAATAAAATTAACCTCTTATGACCTTTATATATACAATGGACTTTTAATTTAACATAATAACATGTATTTTAACATAGTGACCTTTTTTATTAATAAAACGGCCATAGTGTCTCTAGTATAGTCCACGGTAAATTAATGTGAACCAGGTCTATTTAAGATTCATGCTTCATGCTCTAATTAATATGGAACTACTATATTTATGAATTAGCCAAGAATATTGTTTTACCCTAGTCTCAAAGATGATAGTGTGCATAATATTGCATGTCAAGACATTCACATAACCCTTCTTTGTTTCACCAAATTCACCTTAATTGGTAGTATCACCAATGGAATCTATCGTCAACTAAATGGATGGACTTCAATCTTGGTCACTAACGCCACTATTTCCACCAATAGGTAATAATGGGAGCAATGAGAACTTCCATAGTTCCATGGCCCTTTTTCTACATACTAATGATAGAACTTATAGTGTTTAACCAAAAGTTTTGCATAATAGATTACACGTGTAAGCTAATATTATTATAATCCAGGAGTTAAATGTTGTTATGGTTGATAGAATATAGTCAAGGTGGAGAGAGGAAAGAGGCTAACCTCCTAAACAGATAAAAGTGGTGATGGCCGGTTGCAATTGGCATCAAACGTACATCATGGTGGGACCTATTACAGATACAAATGGTGATGCTGTGATGAGATTTTGGCAATTAGGTTTTGTGGAGACTAAGTAATAGTAGTGGCTGTGATGAGGAATGACAGTTGCTTGATGGTAGGAATTATTGTAAGGATTCTCCGTTTTTGCAAAAAGGTATTATTTCATTATCTGAGTTATCAGTGAATCCTTATTTTTCTTGGTGATATAATCATTAGGAGTCTCAAGTTCAAGACTCACAGTATAGGAGTGGTTTGCTAATCTTTTGGGGCAAAGGGGGTGAAGGGGTGCTCCATATCCCTGATTGCACCAGTGGAAAAAATGGCTTCTATAAGAAACTATATTTACCCTCATCATAATAACATTAAGTATTTGGTGGTCATCTACAGTCCCCTCATTCTGATAGGAATCTAATTTTGTCCATAGGCTTCCTTATCTTAAAAAGCTTGGCACAATGCACCATGACATCAAATGGAATTGGGAAACTAAGTCCAGGCTACTACTTGTAGTGTATTTTGTTTCATGCTGAATATCCTTCATATTCCTCCAGAAGTAGATTGAGAAGTGGATGCCTTATTGATCATGTACTCATGTTAAAACAAGGTGGCTTGAAGCACTGTTGCATTGGAGCTGCAATAATATACCAGAATGCTGCTACTTCTCCATTGTTTAAGCTTTTTGATAAGACTGGCGCCTTATTATACATAAAGATTGTACGATAATGTAAACTTAGTTGATTTTGATGGTCTTTAATATTGACTTTTGGCTATTGATGAACAGATGCATACTTTAGGAGAACTGGATTAGAAAGATCAGAGGGTTTGGCCCAGGACCTAGAATGGTTCAGCCAACAAGGGATGGCAATTCCTGAGCCTAGCAATCCTGGAATTTCTTATGCCTCATATTTGAAGGAGCTTGCAGAAACAAGTGCCCCATTATTTCTCTCCCACTTTTACAATGTGTACTTCTCTCACATAGCTGCTGGGCAAGTGATAGCAAAGCAGGTGTGTTGGCCACTTTTCTGATAACTGAGAATGTTGTGTATCATAAGAAAACATGTAGATTGTATGCTAGCTGAGTTGGCCTTTTACTTCGTTATGTAAAACTTTACACTATGTACTGTCATGAAAATAGTTTAAGTGTCAGCAAGTGTTAAATTTTAGGAGTCATTTATCCATGATTATCTTGCAACTTGCACAACTGTTTCAATGTTTTGCAAATGAAATAATTGGATAATAAAGGAGCTGTATATTTTTTCATTGATGTGGCTATTTCCTTACACTCCTGGATGGAAAGGCGAGTTTCTTGTATAATGTGATAATGTCATAATGTCATTTTCAGTGTTTGCATGTGTGTGTGTTTTTTTTTTCCTTTTTCTTTTTTTCTTTTTTTCATGCATTTGTAAACTTGAAAGAAAAATGTTTTGAATGGTTTTTTTTTTTTTTTTTTTTTTTTTTTTTTTTTTTTTTTTAAATTTAATTTTTGGTAGAAAAATGTTCTGACTATTTGTAGCTTTTTTTATTAAATAAAACTTTTGCTTTCCAACCTTTCTTTCTGCAAGTCCTCTAAAATTCGATGCATTACTAGACTGATAGTCTCTACTAGTAAGGTATATTCGTGTATCTGAAGACTCACAGAACCTGTCAACTGTCGGAACCTTATTGCTCTTCGCCTTTTAGTTGTAGGCTACTATAATACCATACAAATTCTGAGATGCACCCAGATAAGATTTTGGTTAATTGTATCTCTCCAAATGATTAAAAAAAGTAAAAAGCTAATAAGCAAAATACCATTGGGTGCACGTAGCTCTTAGGTGTATCCAAGTACATTATAGGGGTTCCCCTATTACTAGGCTGGATAGAAAACTTTAGGTGCTGGAGAACCATGTCCACTTTATGCTGCTTATGGCACACATTTGCAACTAACTACTATGAATTATCTTCCTGATCTGGGCTTTGTTGATGATTTTTAATCTTTGCTTGCATTGTTTGTTTGTCAATGATTTGATCAGTTTCCACCATTTCTCGCAGTTATCTAAGTCTTTTAATGGATGAATCTTCTCATCCAAGTAATAATGAACACATACTGGCCTTTTTTCGCACCTAATCTTGATCAGGTTGCTGATAAGCTTCTAAAGGAAAGGCAATTGGAGTTCTTTAACTGGGATGGAGATGAGCAAGTATTCCTGCAAGGGATTAGAGAAACACTTAATAGGCTTGCGGAGGTGGGTGCCTGAGATTATCACATCAGTTTCCTTCAAGGGCTTTCTGTTTTTGTTTAGCCTGTTTGAACTCACTTGAGGAGTAATGATATGCTTATATTGCAGCATTGGTCTCGTGATGACAAAAACAAATGCTTAAAAGAGACTACAAAATCATTTAGGTACCTTGGTCAAATTTTGCGCTTAATCATCATCTTATAAGGTAAGCTAAAATCACCTTTTATTTTACTGTTATTTATGTTAATCTGGCTTCTGTTTACATAGTCCTGGATTCCTTCTGCTTTTGTTTCCATTGTTGGGGCGGGGTTAGGGGAGAAATTTCTGAAGGGTAGAATTGATCTGATGTAATGATGTGTTCATTAAGTAGGCACTTGTAATACATAGTGTTGTTCTGAAACTAATTCTTAACATCTCTCAATTCCTCTCCCATTTTAGACATGTATCACTTATTTGCTGAGTTGTCGTGTTTACACCTATTCACCTCACACCCATGATTAGAAAGCCAAAAATTGGCATCTTTTATTATTTCTGCCAATCTGGAGTGCAGAGTGCAGAGTGTGAACAGTTGGATATAAATGGAAATCTTTCAGTTTAGCATTATGCTCGTAGCCTTGTAGTATAGATACTTCTACATTTTTTCATCTCTGATCTACTGTTGTCTTAATTTTCCCCTGATCTAGTTGTCCATCTCCTCGGACACAGCTGTTGCTTCTTTTGTGTCTGCCCGTGGATGTGCTTGCTGTATTTGCCCTGCAATTCTATTAGTTTGTGAACCCGTTGTGCAAACCTGCAGTCAAGTGTGATCTTGTTCTCAGACTCGGTGGTTTCGCTACCCCAGTATACAGAATCTAATGTCGCAAGACTTGCAACACATTGTTTCAAGCCCACATCCGGCCTCGCCCCATCTTTCAATCATTCTTCTGGCAAGTTGGATCAAAGTGGCACAGCCCATCTTGTCCAATAATGCTTCTACTCTGGGCCTCTGGAGCATTTAAAAATTTTGTGGCTACACCAGGAACATCTAGCATTATCGGCTATATATCTCTCTTTCAAGAAAGCTTTAACAAGATACAGGTAGCATCTCCACGTGAATAAAAGTGGTGCACCTTTTTTTAAATGAAAAGGTACTAGCACATAAATACATAATGTACTTATCATTATATGCAAAAAGGAATTTCATTTTTCATTAATTTCTGTTCAAAATGAAAAGGAAAAGTTGTCATTAATAATGGAAAGTTGTTTTTAAATTAGACAACCTTTTAATTATTCCTAAATATTACCTCCTTTGGGGGGCTCAATTTTAAACAAGACAAAACCTGATATAATATGTTAAGCAAGTTATCCATGTCACGTGTCGCTCTATGATTGGTTTAAATTTTTTGTTTTTTCTTTTTTTTTCTCGCTCTATCCTCCCATCCAAAACCACCATTGCTCCACCTCCACACCACCATAGCTCCACCACCAGCAGCCCCTTACCCCAGCCCCACCACCGAAAACTCATCTCATCTCCTCCCCTTCCTTTCCCCTACCCCGCATACTGCCCCATCCCCTTCCCCAGCAACCGCGATAACCACACCTCCCCTTCCCCTAGCCCTCGAAAAACCATCCCTCCCCTTCCTTAGCCCCTAATAACTGTCCCTAGCCTCGAAAACAACCCCCTCTCCTTCTTTACTCTAAAAAACCGTCGTCGTACCCAATTCTTTCCCTAGACCAAACCCCTTCCTTGCGTTCGTGCTGCCGTCATGGCGTTCGCCAGGGAAGGGGTTGGGTGTGTGGTGTTCGACGGGGAAGGGGTCGTCGGGGGAAAGGGTCGGGTGTGTGGTGTTCGACGAGAAGGGGGGATCATCGGGAGAGGGGGTTGGGCATGGGCTACTAGTTGGGGTTTGGGTTTTTTTTTTTTTTTTTTTTTTTTTAAAAAAAATCAAAAATTATTAATTTAGACCAATTTTATAACAACACGTATTATGGTCAACTTGTTTAGTCAAAAATGTTTATTTTAAAAAAAAAATTAAAAATTATTTATTTATAACGACACGTATCATAGTCAACTTGTTTAGTCAAAAATGTTTATTTTAAAAAAAAAAATCAAAAATTATTAATTTAGACCAATTTTATGACGACACATATTATGGTCAACTCGGTTACAAGTTTTTTATCTTGTTTAAAATTGAGACACCCAAAGGGTCTCAAAGGTTGTAATATTCAATACTAAATAAAATATTGTCATGTTTAAAAATAATCGCCCAAAGTTTGTATTATTAAGAACAATTTTTCCAAATGAGAAACAAGCATTTAGTTTATGTGTTACCCACGTAGACAACTACCTTGTAGGTTGACAACATTTTTGTTTTATATGTTGCACAGTTTCCATTTTGATACTAATACAATCTAAACGAGCCAATTTATGATTTGAATTTCAAATTTCTTTTTACTTTTTTAAAATGTGATTTGAAGTATGTTTACCATAAGACTCTTTACCCAAACCAATCACATTGATGAGAGTGCTTGTGTATTTGGGCTTCACACAAACCACACGTATGTGCAACCTTTTCGCTTTGTTATGGGACGGATAGAATAATAACTAAAGTTTTGCGTTATGAATTATAGCAATCATTTTTGTTACGAAAGCAAAGAAAGTAAATTTCGAGAAAATACAAGTTAATATTCATGATAAACAAAAATGTGTTTATCTAGTGACATTTCTGTAAATAAGTCATCAATTTTTATTAAATGCGGGTCCCACATATGTTGAATTATGAAAATATCATACTAACAAAATATTTTGTTGATTTATTTACAAAGATACCACTAAATAAATGATTTTTTGTTTATCATGAATATTAATCGGGGCTCTCTCGTAAATTTCCTTATTTGCTTATTTTCGAAGTGCTCAATACGTTGCTTGGTTTAATCAAAAGACGAGACAATTTAGGGTCTTGTTGTAGCTTAGGCCTTGGTTAGATAACTTGAATTCCGGAAACAATGTTCGAAGGAAAAATAGTCATGTGGTTTCGTGTATCAAAGCTTCTTGTCAGTAACAAATTTAGTATGTAAACATTAAAACATCTATTAAATCGTAATTAGTACATATGTTAGTTTGTCTTACTCTTAATGTGATTTATTTTGACGCAATCTATATTATATTAAAAGGCGTTTCTAAGAACGTTGGTGTGTCACGTAGTCCCTTTTTTATTTCACCACGTCATCTTTCCAACATTATCACTCAAACAATGCCACATCACCCAAGCAACCAACATTACTCCATATAAAAACGTAAGGATAAAGAGGATCAAACCCTCAACCTCTTATAAGAACAATAACTATTTCACCATCTTAGCCAATAATACGTAAAAAAAATTATATAAGTGCAAACTACAAGGTTCAATTAAAAAATATATATATTAAAAAAAACTCAATTTTAGTTTGACAATGACAATTACAATTTTAAAAAACCTTTAAAAAAAATTTATTGATTGCACATCAACAACCATAACAACCCAGACAACGCCCGGACTACTCACTAGTTTAACCTTAAAAAGAAGTACAAGCCTATGTCATTTTCTATAATCCTTACAAGATTCGTTTTACAAGTTGTTCATTTTTTAAGTTAAAAATATGTAATTTCATCTAGTTGATGTTAGAAAATAATAAAATTAATTTTTCCATAGAACTATTCAAATTCCCAAACACAAAATAAGTAGTTTGTATATTTTTTCAATTTAATTACGAAAGGGTTAATTGACATAACTCGCTAATTATGGAAATTGTTGGACAATTTTCCATGATTATAAAGGCAATGATACATTTGGTTTGATGCTAGTAGTTTAAAGTAACCTTACCTTTCTTTAAGCCGCTAATAAGATAATCACATCTATTGTAAGATATATAAATCGGAAAATTGTCTACATAAAGACAACCGTAAAAATAAAATGAAATTTAACTCAACAATTTATAATTCTTCGTGTTTTTCAACCTCTATCTTTAACAATATATTATCCAATGGAAAAATGTAGAATAATCCAATAATAAGATTAGATCGATGAAAGTCATAAACTTAGTGGTTAATCGCTATCTTTAAGTGACTGACTAATCCTAATTGATTTTTCTTTTTACAATAACTTAAGTTTATTTGAGTCAGAGTTGACTATGTCTATGCAAAGTAGGCAGATATAGAGATCACAGATGCTTAGTTAATTAAATTAATGCAAAAATACTAAAAAAAAAGGGCAAAAAAACAGAAAAGCTGACTACAATTATAAAAGAGAGCGTGCAATTGCCGGCGATTAATTTTATACACTAAAATAAAAAGCTTATATAATATCTTGTCAAAAAAAAAAAAAAAAAAAAAAAAAATCTCATTCAAATGAAGAGGGCTCAAGAGAATGGTATCTTTGACAAGGTAAATTTTCGAACTTGTTAATTTCGCTCACATGTTATGCACAAACTACTGATTTAGTTGTCACGTCTGACAGTACAAATTTACACGACCAACATGCACGACTTTTGATTTAGGATAGTTATGTGTTTTGTTCTGATGTATGTGATGTATATGACAGGAAAAATGGGTGATAAAAGGAGGGAAAAGATCACCATTACTAATGAGAATGGGAGTGTTAGTGATGATTATGGTTTGTGGGGTATACATTGGTTTAACAGGCTGTTTAAATGTAGTAAACACTCCTACCATAATTATCACAACCTCCAAATTCATCAAAAGTAACAATTTTCAAGTCAATTTTCTGCAATATCAAAGTAATTCATCAGAATCTCCTTATATACATTACCCTAAGCCTCTTACTTTTACCAGGTGATTTCATAATTTCTCTTCTTACATTTAACATAGTTTATATTCCTTCATTTTCCCCCCTTTTCGGGGTTTTTTTTTAAAGCGCTTTTATTGGTTCGTCAACCTCCAATAAAAATGGGTTCTCCGATCCTCCAATAGATGTTATAGTACTCAGCTTATTTCACTTTTTTTTTTCTTTTTTTTTTTTTAATTTTATTTATTTATTTTTTTATTTTTTGTAAAAGTGCCTTATGTAGTCGTATTTGGATTATAAATAGTTGGATGTGATAAAACATAAATACGAGGGACTTCAACCATCACCTTAAGCTTTTGGTTGAGTTAGTCCTTCGACAAGATAATTACGGCTAGCTTTTAATGAGCAAGAATGGTAAGAAACAATTGGATATAACTAACCCCTTTTCTTTGTTACTTTGTATAAACTATTTATCTATGTTTAGTACAAAGTACGGAGTATTAATCTAACTTGAAACATCATTCTATAATTTGTTAAGATATTATTTCGAAATAATCTCTAACGTGCTTCAACCTAAGTACATTCAACTAGATTGTCAATTAAGTAAAAAGGTTTGAACAAGTCAGTACTTTGATGTAAGCCTTAATATGACTTTAATTACATGTGCATATCTTTTTTATGGTTAAACCAAGAAAACTAATCATTTTTTGGGATTTAAGCTACATAACTATGCTCTACAATGTCTATATAATAGTGATTCAAATGTGATACAATAGGGAAGAATGTGAATGCAATCCAGTCCGGCCATTCGCAATCTTATCAATGCAGAGATCAGGTAGCGGATGGTTTGAGACAATGTTGAACAGCCACATAAACGTAAGCTCGAATGGTGAAGTATTTTCAGTTAAGGAGAGAAGAAATAATGTGTCAATGATTCTGAAAACTTTAGATCAAGTCTACAATTTGGATTGGTTCAATAGTGCTTCAAAGAATGAGTGCTCAGCTGCTGTTGGACTCAAGTGGATGCTCAATCAGGTACTATTGAGAAAATGATAAAGAAAATAATACTCGAAGTCTAGTTTAAACTTGCAGCATGACAACTAAGACCCGACTGATGTAGCAATTTTTCGGCTTGGGAGTTGGTTTATGTTTCATAGTTGTTTTTAGTTACAAAATCATTTGGCTTTGGTTTCAGGGTTTGATGGAGAACCAAGAAGAAATAGTGAAGTATTTCAACCTGAAAGGTGTTTCTGTAATATTTTTATTCAGAAGAAATTTACTGAGGAGAATGATATCAGTGTTGGCAAATTCTTATGACAAAAATACTAAGCTGCTCAATGGAACTCATAAATCTCATGTGCATTCGTCTATTGAGGTCCTTATTTCATTACTCTATTTTCATTTCGTTACAAAAAGAAAGTTTTTGGTGCTTGAAGTACTCCGTATTTGTTTTAAATTATTTTGTTTGAAATTATTTTCATCTTATTTTAGATTGTCTAAACGCGTTTTGTCTAAAAGATGTTAGTATATTTGGAAAAAAAAAAATTTGAAACATACCCCGAATCATTTCTGATATTTTAATCAATAAGGGCTCTTTTTAAGCAATTTTTTTTAGTGATTAGCATACACTAAATATTTTGTACATCTTAAAAATCATCTTAGAAAAGGGTTTATTTTACCCAAATTACTGACTCATATTTTCTTATCTCCTCTTTGGTTCAATGATATCACAGGCTCAAGTATTGGCAAGTTACAAGCCGAAAATAAATGCCACAGAAATTGAACCTAAACTAAAACAGGAAGAAGCAATCATAGCTCAGGCCTTGGAGTTTTTCAACAGCACACGACACATCGTGCTCCACTATGAAGATCTAATATCCAACTGCACAGTGAGTTTTTCTTCTTCGAAACCCCAGAGATATATATATTTCATAACAAATGTATTAACTGATTTCTCAATCCAAACATAAATTACAGCAGAAATTGCAGGAAGTCCAAGAGTTATATATATTTCATATCAAATGTATTAACTGATTTCTCAATCCAAACATAAATTACAGCAGAAATTGCAGGAAATCCAAGAGTTTCTCAGCGTACCTCACAGAAACCTGACAAGCCGACAAGTGAAAATACACGGAGGGCCATTGGCAAACCAAGTCGAGAACTGGGATGAGTTAGAAAGCATACTTAAGAAGACATCATATGAGAGGTTCCTTCATGCTGATTATAGATAAAGATAAGTTAAAATGTATTTGCTGATAATGTATTCATCCTTTTGCCATATTTTGTCCACAAAAGGAAATAGGTGCAAGTTTTTTACAATCTCTGAAGGGAGAGCAATTGTAATTAGCTACCTGATACATTATATATAGCATCCTTATTACATTCTGCTACAAATTTGCAGTTTTACTTTGAAATGACAGAGTAATAAGCAGTTCAAACAAGACGATGATTTCATTTCTAGCAAAACTACATCTGCCAATCGTGAAGATACAACAGTTGATATTTTCGAACTTTCAAATTAACCAGAAAACATATATATACAAAAAGGGTGGGGGGAGGGGGGAGAATAATCTATTTCTGACACCCTCCCCCCCTCCTAACTATTTACCTGTAAATTATCCTAAGCAACTATCTAAGCATAAAATCTACATATGTTGCCAATTGTCCTACGGGTCTTGGATCTGTACTGGTCCATTATTGAGCATGTCACTGTTTTCAGTCTTGCGGATAACAAATTGGTCTACAATCCTAACCGTGGATAATGGATCCTGGTGTTTAATAGTGGCAGTCCATTTGCTGGGGTGCTTTCTATAGTGGTTTAGCTGCTGGGGTTGTTTTGGCTCCCCATCCCATTTCGGATCCAACTTCCATGTCTTTGGAACCTGTATAATGAAATCAAAGAACAATTCTTAGGTCTATACTGTCTAGGTTAGCAAAAGACTGAGAACAGTATATAATTGAATGGAAGTAAAAAGCATGCCTCCAATGACAACTTTAAGACCTTATGTGACAAACTACATTCTGGACAAGATTAGAAGATTCTACGTACATTAAGATATTTGGCCAGATATTTTTCAAGGAAAAAAAAAAAAAGATATTTGGCTAGATAATTTGCTATTTTGAAGTGTATCATAGAAAATTTAGAGGATTGGACTTACAGGAGTAAATCAGGTTTTATAAGTTGAAAGGTGTGGCTGTCTAAAGTTGAAGCAAGAATTTACCTTGACAGAAGTTTCAACAAAATTACAAATACATGGAAATTTTACGATGACCTTTTATACAACTCTCTATGACAACCACCAATTCTCTGCTAATCAATTCAGCAGAAACAATATTTACTAATGCTACGTTTTCTATATGCCTATATGACCTTTTTGTATACAGTAACTTATAGGACTTTTTCAATTTTGCTACCACCAAAAGGCATGCACCTCAGTTTTGCTACCCCTCCAATTTTTTTATTTTATTTTACTACCACCTAAATCACAGTTGTTAAAAATTGCTACCACTTTACGGAATCCGTTAAGTTTATTCAAAAAAAAAAAAAAAAAAAAAAAAAAATTAAAATGTTTTTTTTTAAAAAGAAAAACCCAGCCACCCTCCCCCTCCCTTTCCTCCACCTTTGCAGCCCACCACCCTCAACTGCCAGCCACCCTCCCCCCTGCCGGCGACCGGCGCCCAACGCTTTGGCCGGCGCCGGCGACCCCACCCCAATCCCTTTCCCCACCAACGCAACCCACCCCCCCTCCCTTATCCCTTTCTCGCTGCCCCAACCCCCACCCGAAACCGGAAAACACCCTCCCTCCCCATCCCCCCCACCGGAATCGGCCCCCCTCCCCTTCCCCCACCCTGAATCGACCCCACCTCCCCTTCCCCCACCCAAAAACCGGCACCCCTAACCCATAAACACCACCCCTAAACCACCATAAGCGAAACCCTAAAACCCGTTTGGTTTCGGGCTGGTGTTTATGGGTTAGAGGTGCGGTTTTTGGGTGAGATTTCGGGCTGGAGAAGGGGAGGTGGTGGGATTTTGGGACTGAGGAAGGGGTGGGCTTTTGGCGATGGCTAGGTAGGGAGGTGGTTTCGGTGGTGGGCTAGGGGGAGGGAGGGTGGACGAAATCGGGGAGGAAAAGGGATGAGGTGGCCGGAAACGGGGTGGGGAATGGAGGGGATGGCCGGAATCGGGAAGGGAAGGGAGTTGGTGGCCGGAAATCGTGGCTGGAATGGGGTAGGGGGCGGGTGGTAGGGGCTGCCGGAAATCTGGGTTATTGTTTTTTATTTATCTTTTTTTTAATTTAATTTAATTTACTTTTTTTTTTTTTTTAATAAACTTAACAGAATCCTAACCCATTCCGTTAAGTGGTAGCAATTTTTAACAACTGTGATATAGGTGGTAGTAAAATAAAATAAAAAATTGGAGGGGTAGCAAAACTGAGGTGCCTGCCTTTTGGTGGTAGCAAAATTGAAAAAGTCCTAACTTATAATGGGATCTAAAAATAATCTCTCACAAGCCACAATGCAGTAAAATTACAGGCAAAAATATAAGTTGAAAATAGGATGAAACATTACGCGGCATACCTTATCAACAGCTAGGGTAAAGACTTCCAAGTCACCATTACGGTCGATGTGGAAGCGAGTGAATGACTTGTAGTTTGCAATACGCAAGGAGGAGAAGGCTTCATCAAAATGGATGTGAAGCCAATTGATGCAAACATACAGATAACTTCCAAATACCAAAGACACAATTGGGGTTGAGAATACCCAGTAATAGAGGAAAACAGAGGCATAATATATTACAGCATAGCCTCTAGACAGTGACTGCATCCCAATCTTGCAGATGTTGCTCCTTGTGACAGCCATGACCTATTTTTTCCCACAGTTTTAGACTAGGTATACAAAACAAAAAAAGAATAAAACAAAAGAAAGAGAGTGACATTTGTATTCGATTATTCAAAGCTATGTACCTCAGGGACATCAAAGGCAAACATTAAATACTTGATGCATGCAGGATAAAGCCCAAAAGTCCACTGTTCAATACGTGCTCGAAGGCCAGTTGGGTCAGGAAAGTGCTCTCTCTCCATTTGTCTATACCACTCGTATAAAGTGTGATAGCCTGTAAGGAATGCAGTTTAATGCATAAAACATAACCAGGCTTTTGAAAATCAGCACAGGAGTGCCAATAGTGGCATATTAACCACACCACAGCTAGACCACCTTATGACTCAAAGCTGAGCAAAAAAAAGTCCCCTACTGAACATTTTATATTATTGTGCATTTCAAAAAAGTTACTTAGAAAAAAAATAAGTAGGAACATTTTACTTTACATTACAATTATAAAACTATCATAGGAACCAATAAGAATAAACCTACCAGAGGTTGCCAGCAGCTGATGCCGAATACACATCTCAACACCCAGCTCCAGCAGCAACATTAAGATCAGAGCAGAAAACACATGTGCTGATACATGGAGGATTCCTATGACTACCCGCCTTTTACGTGAGAATTTTGTTGGGACAAAAGATATTGCTGTTATTAACAGCAGCATAGTCCCTATGAAAGACACGTAAGAGTGTTCCAGCACATATGATAATAAATCCAGCACGGTAGAAAAGAAACTTCTCAGATGACCAGAATAGGAATCTTCTCGCAAGATATGATTAAGCTGACACTATATAAGAATAATAAAGTATCAGAACCAAGATTCTGGAAGTTGGCCAGACAAATCTATACAGTGTGGAAAGCAGGCAGCCTAGTTATACAGCTTATACTGTAAGTTTGTAGGAGAATTCAACCCAAAGAAGAAGTTTGAAGTATAGAGGGGTAGGAATTAATCAATACATCATCATGTCGTGTGTAAGTAATAGAAGGTGATAGTTACCTGTGGAAACATAGAAAAGGCTAGAACAAAATAGATGATTCCACCAATGAAGTCAAATTGCCAATTCTTCTTTCTGAACTTCAATATATTTCCTAAAGCTATCTGCCAATGTGTTGCAAGTAGACAGCTTAGAGTAGTTATTAGTCAATAACAAGTAATAAACGGACTCTGGAAGTTTAGTCTTACCTTGCTTGAATCTTCATATGAAGGATATGCAGCTTTCATTTCATACAGGGTACCATAAAATTTTCTAAAATTACTGAAGGTGTGGGTGGGATGCAAAAAAGCCCCACCACAGCCATTTACTAGGAGGTGATGCACATAAACAGGTTTATCAGATGGGACATAGGAATGACGCATATAATGATGCAAATCACCAGCCATACGGAGCTTGCACCTTCCTTTTAGATGGTCACGGATTAGGTGTGCCACATTCTTTCCAGAAGAATGATTCCAATACCAATCCAGTAGCCAATTTGGTTCATGTGTCATGATAATTACATTATCATTTTCTTCGACCTAAACCAGTGGCAGCAAGGAGAGAACATTTAGTCAGCAATAAAGTAAAGAGACTCCAGAAGGGTAGTACTAGATACTTTCTATCAAAATCAAAGAATAAAAAATAATAATAATAATTATAGGCAATTATAGTGCCATAAACTAATGACTTTCTATAATTAGTTATGCACTCAACTTACAGCTCAATCTCTATAGCTTGCAGAAAAAAGCACCAGTAAAGAAATCACGTAAGAATACAAACAGGCCCTGCCCTGGGCGGGGAGTTCAACTGCCTAGGGCTAAACTGGAAGGGGGGCCAAGTTGAAAAAATCAGTCTTATATGAGGCTTGAGGTTCTTCTCTGTTAGTCTGCTATGGTAATGCAAATATAAAAGGGAGACAGTTCTGGGACGACTCCGTCATCAAGTAATACATGTGTGCAATAGTAAAAAATTCTTAGGCCAACCTAAGAGATAAGTGAAAAACGCCAACAACAAAAGGTTGGTGAGGGTGTAGTCTAGATATATACTAACAAAATGTTAAGCATAAAAGGGACAGCACAAACGCATGCAAATAAATAAATTCATCAATTATGATATTTACACGCATGCAAGCAAGACATACACACAAACTCGCACACATACCTATACACATAATTATGCACATGCATTGTGAATTGAAAGGATGAAAATAGCATATGAATATCAATTTAGTTGCTTCGAATAAAAGATTTGGTAATGAATGCTCAAGAGGTTGAGAAAAAAAGAACAATATGTAGTAGATGGGAATGATCATTTACATACCCGCAATTAAGAACGAATTCAACTATGATGCCATATCCTATATAAGTGGAAAAATAAAAAAGATATCAAGTTCAGCTACAACCTATGTATAACTAAGTATACTAACTTGCTAAGTCATAATATCATAAACTACACCATAATGTGGGTGTAATATGATAGGTGTTTCTTATTGACCGACCAAAATCAAAACCCATACCAAAGATATATGGTGAAACA